GCTTGTTGTTTTTGTTCAAACCCAAAAGAAATTAAATATGAAAGCAACATAGGAACGCTCACGTTGTCCTTTAAATGTTGAGTCTTCAACAAGTCTAATGAATAATTTTTTTATTTATTAAAGTAAAATTATATTACGGGGTTGTTTGGTTGGTTGAATAAAAAAATATATGTTTAAGGAATATTTTATTGTCACATTTAGATGAATATAAAGTAAATGCATATGAATGAGTTTTTTTAAATGATACACAACTCATCTTGATTTGTTCGTTAGGAGCTTTGACTACCAACTAAGAGGTATTGAGTTTGATTCTTACGTATGTGATGTGCGTGATTTTGTCTTAATTGGCCTAAATATCCCCCCTCCCCACCAAAAAAAAAATAAAAATTATTTTAGGGTTTAGGGAGATCCGCCCTTGGGTGGTAAGCTGCGGAAGGGGTGGCAATGGGCCGCGGCAGAGGAGGTAGCGGGTAGCTGGGGTAGGGGCATCGGGGGCAAGAGGCGACCGACGAGTTGCAGAGGGTGGTCGACAGCTGTGGTGGTGTCCAGCGGGCTACGAAGGGTGGCGGCCGACGGCAAGTGGCGATCAATCAAACTTGAAGTGTAAATAATTTCCACTCAAAATCAGATAAGATTGGTTTACACTCAAAATGAATTACTTCACTTTACATTACATTTACTATGCTTAACTTTACATCATTTTTTATTCCAACCAAATATCAAAATTTATAAAACTCCTATATTTGAAATATTTTACACCCTAAAGTAATCCAAACCAATCAGCCCAATAATTAAGTTTCATATTTAATGAAATAATTTTTTAAATATATTTTATTCAAGTGGCTATCAAATTAGCCTTACAACGTAATTTTTATAGTTATGCTTTTAATAAAAATTACTTTAAATTTATATTGAATCGATCTGATCAATGTCAATTGGGTGGCAATCCTCGGAGAAAACTTAGGAGAGAGGTCATTTTCTCATTAATTATTTGTGCTGTTGGTTGGTTAGACAGTTAGACTAGGAATTTGGGAAAGATTAGTTGGCCTTCGAAAGATAATCTATTCACGTGCGAGCCCTAATGAATTCATTATTGCGATAATTGAGATCTAAAATTTACTAATTTTCATTATTCGTGAATTTTAACTAATTATTTGATAATTTAATTTTCTCTTAACTTATCAACACAATTTTTGTTAATCATCATTAAAGATAATTTGAGATATATTAACTAAGCTAATTAATTAGCCTTTTTTTAATATTTGTGGCATGCAACACTATATATGTTGGCTACATGAAGAAATTAAATAGGGATATATGACTTTTTTGTTGCTGTTTAAAACAGCTTTTTAGTAAAAAATTAAAAAAAAAATTGTTTGAAAAAACAGTAAGAAAACCGCCCCAAATGAAGTCATAGTTGATCAGTCCATATGCATAATTGAGTATTTTTTTCGTGTTATAATAGTAATGGTGTTGAAAATCTTCCATTAGTGAGGAAGTGATGGGCTATGTTGAGAGTTCCATGAGAGAAAAAAAATAAAAGGCATAGCTAAGTAATGTGGTTTAATACTGTATTAGAGATTAAAATAATTGAGTTTCTCTATTAATAATCTTGAGCTTATGGTGTCCAAAACAACATGTGATTGTCACAATGGGAACTAGAAAGAAAAAAGATCTCATTCACAAGTCCACATCATGATCTTATCATCTTTAATAATCCTAGCTAGCTAATTGATTAAGGTATACCAATAAGGAAGTGAATATTTTTTTCATCTCTTTTATATTTTTCATGAAAGATTATTAATTTCACTCAATGATGAGACTATTGGGGAAAGAAATATTTTTTTCACATATAAATTTAAAATAATAATTGATAGATTAGAAGTCTGTTTGGGATGAGTATAGTATTTTATAAAATCTATTATAAAATTATTGTACGGAAAATAATTTAATTATTTTACTTGTAAGAGTTATTTTTTATTATATAAAAATTTCAAAAAAATGAGAAAATAACAGTAGTTAAATAAAATTATGATTGTTATATAAAAAATAAAATCACGTTAATATTATACCAAAAAGATTCTAAAAATTGTAGTTAGAAAAATAAATGATGAAGATCTAAGCAAAAAATGATTAAAGTTTAATTGAAACCTTTTAGAAGGTTGCTTGCTAAAAAGTGATATGGATGTTTCAACTTTTCATTTTTTGTCGTAATTCGCTTAGATAGATCAAAGTCGTGGCACAGTTATGACGCCCATTGGATTGTGATGGAAAATAATTTTCTTTGACTAAACAATCATTCTTTGTTATATCTATATATCTTGAAGATTTATTTGGTGTTTATTCATAAATGATGAACTAATCCTGCATTTGATTTGAGTATTAAAATGTTAAGCCACAGATAAAATAAAAGAATAATTTGACAAAGTATTTAGTATTATGCTGTAAGAATTAATTAAATAAATAAATTATGTAATGTGGCTCATATAAATGTTACTCTATTAATCATTTAACAATTAATTAAATACTTAATAATTTCTATTAGTCAAGAGCGGATTTTGAACAATCGTTTATGAACCGTTTGATCAAATGAAACATCTCTTCATGAAAATAACTTCCGGTCCTCTTCCTACCTCTTCAAATAAGTTATTATCTCTTCATATGGATAGTTAACATAAGAAAAAATAAACTAAGGTGAAGGAAGAGAAACCTTAGTTTTGCAAATTCAAAGAAATTCATGGACAAATCTACTTCAAAGTAGGGGTGTCAATTTCGGATCACGGGTCGGGTTCGGGTCGAACCTGAAACTGACCCGGGTTCAAACGGGTCGGGTCCAACCTGAATTTTCCAGGTCGGGTCCGAGTCAGGTTTTCGTGTTGTGTCAAATATTAACACCCCTACTTCAAAGCAAGGTATGATGTTATATTTTAATTACAAATTTGTGAAAAATCTTATTTTTCAAGTTCTCGGGATTAAGTGTTTATACAATTATCTTGTTTTATAATAATGAAGATCTTTTCAATGAATCCAAAAATTTCTTACATATGTTTGATTAATATTGAATGGTAGAGAATTAACAGTTTTAGAGCTATAATTTTCTTATTGTTGGATAAGAATCTATGCACTGATAGATAAGAGAAGTTAAGGAGAGATGTTAGAGTTCTTATGAAGAAAATTTAAAAGTAAAAAACATTGTGTTCTTGTCTAATGGAAATAATTCACTATATAAAAAAGATTATAAAGTGCGCTCTTCCCCATAATTGAATGTGATAGAGAATGTTAGCAAAGTAATAAAAGACGGTGATGATGAAAAAGAGACAAACATCAATCAATAGATGTTGATGTTGCTAATGGATGATGTCAATTTGGTAGCAATCATTAGGTGACGGCACCCGACGAATAATAGTCGAATAATAATGCTCTTGCAATGGTGATCAGACAAGACAGTTAGATGATGTTAGTTGATTCGCTCAATCATAAATCATTCATTAGACTATAAATCTATAATTGAGTGATATTTAAGTTGTTGGATTTCTCTTCTCAAGATACTCTTTTTTATTGTAAGCTCGTATGTGAGTGGGGCTATTAGAGTTTATAGGTCTAGCTTAGCAGTAGGTATAGGATGTCATATAAGTTTTGAATGGGGAGATGCTTAGTCACACAAAGATAGCTAAGAAACCATCTGGTTAATATGCGAGGCACCTTCTCCCTAGAGGAGGCTTCAATGGCAAGGAAAGGTAATCCCTATACAATATTACAAGGATACACAAGGAAAATACAATACTAACAAATTTACGATAGTTATAAGGATAGCAAAGAAAGCTTCTCATAAGAATAAGCATAATAAGGGAATGATTTGACTTACAATGTAGAACATCGATTGATCCCATATCATAAGAGAAGCCCACCAAATCATAACTCCTCCAATTTTGTAAGGAGAAAGATAATGAATATACAAGTTATAAGTGTTGTGTGAGAATATATCTCTTGGCTTGAAAAAAGAATAAGCTATACGGCTCTAAGCTTCTCAAATAAGTGCCACCTGAAGGTGAGGATATTAGTATCATGCAAGCATCTATCATAAAGTCCAGAAGGAAGATTAGGCTTAAAAATCCTCAATAATTAGAAGATGAATGCCCATTAGGGCTGCAAACGAACAAAGCATTCGACAAGCTACTCATTGCTTGATTCGATTAAAGCTCCTTCATAATCATTTAATTAATTAAACAAACAAACTTGAATATTTTTTAATACTTGATCCTTAAATAAACAAGCTTGAACAACAATGTGTTTGACTCATTTAAGTTCATGAACAACATCTAAAGCTTGTGAACAAGCTCGACATTAAGCTTGATAAGAAGCTCGATATAAAGCTTTCAATTTATTTTATATATTCAATAGAATGAATTTGTTTATGAACAAGAAATATTTGTTCATGTTTGCTAGATTATATGTTTAAAATATTCGTGAACAAATATAAGATGAATCATAAATTGTTTGTTCGTAAACGAACTCATTTGGTAGCTAGAAAATACTAATTAGATATGTTTATGAGCTAGCTCATTTGATAGCTCAAGAATACTCATATATATGTTCGCGAACGAGTTTTTTTGATAGTTTAAAAAACTTCGCTAGTTATGTTCACAAATATGCTCGATGTAATTGTTTGTTAGAAGTCTTGATAAGGCTCATTTGTTAAGTTAATGAACATCTATAAGTAGAGCTTGTTTATAGCTCGATAAGGTTGTTTGTTTAAAGCTTGATAAGCATGAAACGGACAGAATATAAACCAAACATGAAAAACCATTAATTTAAACAAACCTAGCTTGATCATAAACAAAAAGCTTGAACTGAGCTTGAACTAAACTTGAACAAGCTGATAATAAATGAACTAAACAAATTTTGAGTTTGAAGTAAAATTGCCAGCCCTAGAATTCATCTTCAGAACAATTCTGGTGTTTACAACATGAAAAAGCACAGTCAAACGAGCTGGAAATTGCTAATGGAACATACTATCATTGCAGTTAAGTTTAAAGCTTTTATAAACAACCTCTACAAGAGCACTTTGATTCTTGGACTAAAAAGTATTTGCATCAGATTTACATAATAACATAATAAAAAAAATAGAAAAGAGCTTTGTTACAAAGGCCTAAAACCATTACAACAAAGCTGTATTCATAGAAGGTTTACAGAGCTTAACAAGAATCACGCCACCACCGACTCTGAACAAAAGAGAAAAAAATCCTAAACTCTGCACATGTAGTTTGGTATATGGTACAAGATTTATTTGCCTATTACTGTGTACCACGAATTCATTTTCTAGGAAATATATTTTGGATTGATAAAATGAAAATTTGATCTCAAGCTTCAAAAATATAACGCACACATTGCTATTTCTGTCAACACTAATAGATGCCACTTGGAAGAGAACGGACCTATAAGCTTCATCCTTAAAGCAATTTCATGCATTATCATCGTCACTGCCTTTGTAATTGACCAAATATATACCGACAAGTGTCACTAATGCACCACCTAATTGTGAAGGGGAGAATGTCTCACCCAGATAGAGGAACCTGAAATTCAGTTGATGTCTTAGACTCAAGATGGATGTTTTTTATTGTCTTAAAATCCCCAGAAAATCTAAGCGTGACAATCAGAGCCAATAATAAAGATTATTCCGGTTATAGAATAGTAACAGCAAGGAAATGTGGCTGAGTTCATATATGCATTATTACCCCAACAATTATAAACATAATCTAAACAAGAAAGATCACGTAGTGAAGCCTCAGAAATGCTTAACAACACTCTTAATGACAAAAAATTCAGTTAACGTACCCAAATATAGAAGCAAACACTGGAGTTAGGAAAGTGAAGGAGCTTAGCTTCGTCAAGCTACCTGCATGAATAATAACAGAAGGAAATTTAACTTGTAAACAAGATAAATAACTATTTGTAATAAAGAGAACCTATTTAACAATTAGAATCATTGATATTGGAAGGTACAATGCTTAAGAAAAATTCACAGACAAAATTATGGAATCACAAGAGCAAACCAAGCCAAACTGCATATGAAATACATTTAGACGAGAAGAATACCTCTAGTAGCATTGTAGAAGAATACACCATAGCTAATGGCACTTCCAAATATTGAAGTGTAGAGAAGAGCCCAAATATCATCAGAGGTTAGCGCATTTACATTCCCGCTTATGGCAGGATCATGATTGAGAATAGAAATAACTAGGAGAGGCAGCCCACCTATAATCATGTGCTGTGGCAATGTAGTTATTTTCTTATCAGTTACTCCGTAAAGAATGATGTTCAACCAATAAACTAACATCATAGTAACCAAGGAAAATGGGCACATAAAACTATTAAAGCCTTATAATATAAAGATGGAATAATATAGCATTTATCTTTTGGCATTATTATCCTACCCAATTACAATAAATTGTATCAAACTACATATCCCAAGAATGCATTTTACAAGACCATTCAACGCAAAATGTGTTGAAATCAGGGATTTGATTTGAGAGGGAAAACCATGAGTTTTATTATACAACATAATCTCTATTTATAGGTCTATACAAGATGCTTTATAAACAAACAAAAATAACCACAGAATAATGAGTAATACAATCCTTCCTAAATCAGCTATCTAGCTATGGAAGGTTTTCAACGTGATTCAGGTGGGCTTTCCACGAATCTCTATTCATAGCCGTGCGATCAATGTGGGAACGAGAGACTAGGATTTAACAAAATGCATGGCAAGAATGATTTACTGGAACAACCAAGTCGACCTGAAGATAAGAGGAGACAATTTCATTCTTATGGGAAACAACACTTTATAACAATGATATTACCATATTAGGACATGCTAAACAATGAAAAAATAGTTATATCTTACCTCGGAATTTGCATCTTGAGGCAAGTAAGCAGTTGAGCCAATAATTTACTTATATCACACAAGTAGCCCGGTGAAGCATCAAATTGAACACGGGGCTCATCATTTTAGCATTTCTGGAACAGACAATTTACAAGCTTAAATTACCTAATACTCCAAGCAGATTTATACCAGGCTCACATTTATAATGGATTCCACTACAACAACCAGCCAGCTCCATATCAGGTGGAAAAGCTGGCTGGTTAAGTGAGCCAGCCTAGCATAACCCATGAGAGGTAGGGAAACAACATCAAGCTAATTGAACGGTAGTGCATAGGTATAAAAAGTATAGAAAGTAATTGGTCAGATTTCTTTCATTGATAGGGACTACTAGTTGGTCACTATGAAGCATGGACAAAAAGACATAACATAACTATAAAAAGTAATGCACAACACTTAGTGGATGCACTCTTCTCTTTTACAAATTATTAATATAAAATATGAGATTTAAGCATTTGATACAATTATTTTGTATTTAAATCATCACACACTGGAAAAAAAAAGTATTGTTATTTACAATTAAATTTCAAAACTTCTTATAGGCAGTCTTTAATGAGTCATATATAGGGGTGTAAGTGAACCGAGCCGGCTCGAACTCGACTCGCTAACGAGCTCGCGAGTCGAGCTTATCGAGCCTCGAGATCAAAATCAAGCTCATATATTAAACGAGTTCGAGTTTAATAAGACCCAATTCATTGTCACGCAAGCTTGCTCGATTAAGTAATATTTAGGGGTTAAAATAATTTTATTTATCAGTTTATATAATTTGAAAGTAAATTTATAGATTATCCATCTTTAAAAAATTTGAAATTTTATTGTTAAAAAAAAAAAGCTTACTATGGAAACCAAGAATAGTGATTCATGTGGCTAACCCCACATAGTAGGATAAAGGCTTGTTGTTGTTATTATTGGTTTCATTGACATTGAGCAAAAGCCCTGACAACATGTTAAAATAAATACAAAAAAAAAAATGCTACAACAACACAAATGATCAAACTTCTTTCACAATAAAGTCATCTATAACAAGTATGTATCTACAACATTCTTTAAAAAAGTGACGGGAACATTAAAGCTATCATAATGCACATTGCATAGCACCCATACATTCAACAACTTCATTTAACAAAACAGTGCAAGAAAAAGAAGAACGAGAAGGGTAGGAGGAAGGGTAGATTGAAGGAAGAATGGATGTGGATAAAGAAGAAAATGGGAATATGAGTGAAGAAGAAAATAAAAATGGCAGAGAAACAAAAGGAGAAGAAGAAGAAGAAATAGAGGAAGAAAGAAGAAATGGAAGAAGAGGAAAAAAAAAAGGAATAAAAAAAACCAGAAGAAGAAGAAGTAGAAGAAAGAAGAATAATAATAATAAGACGAAGGAGAGATGGAAGGGGACAAAAGAAATTTGGAGGAAGAAGAAGATGATGATGATTACCTGTGAGAAGAGGAGGAGAATGGGCGGCCACTTTGGCTTGGGTCGTTCGCTGGAGGTGGAGTCGGACGGGAGAGAGAGGTCTCTGGCCTAGCTAGGGCTTGCGAACTAGGGAAGGCCGAATAGGGGGTCTTCACGCCTGGGGGCCTATTCGAACCAAGAGCGAGAGAGCATGGTACTGAAGGGAACGTATCTCCGTGAATCCCCTCAATGATGAAGATTGAAGGGAGAGATATCCTCGTATGCTATGCCCAACCCTATCTTCTATCACGATATCCTTTGCGATCACTCTCCTGTTGTAGCCACCCGCTCCTAATCGAGAAGAAAACGCACATGCCAGCGGCTGAAAGCGGGAATTCTAGGAAAATGTCAAACGTTGGATGCAAGGTTTGATCAAGATGCTTACAAAAATCAATCGAACACATCTTTAAATTAATTAGGCTGATTTGGGTTGAATTGAGTCTAAACCGAACTCAATTTGTTTCAATTCAAGTCGGTTCAGGTTCAATTTGGTTCGACTATATTAATTTGATAAAATTAAACCTAAATCAATGCCAATTTGATTCAATTTGGGCTTGACGGGTATCAATCAAGTCAATCGAACATGCTCGAGGGCGAAGAAGTGAAAATCGAGGTCAACAATTACATGCAAGTAGAGGGTGCTCCTATAGTTGGTAGTTCTTCTTACTGAGACATAGTGCAAATTCACGTAATAACTACTTTTGCTTTGGTCAATAAGTTAACTGCCTTCCCCTAGAGTTGAAATTACTTGTTACCCTGATGTTGATAAGCAAGGCCTTGAGACTCAACTGGTTCTTATGGAGACCAAGAATAATCCCGCGCACTTTATTATCCCAATTGATCCTCACATTATGGAGTTTGTGTCTGTTGCCCCTCCCTCTAGTGGTTCTAATAATCTTGTTATTGATGATGCTTTGTTGCTTCCCAATATTACTTTCTTCAAATTTGAGGGCAACGGAAACCATTTTCGCATATTTCCTAATTATATTTTAATCAAAAGTCTTTGTACTCTTACTTTTTAGCAATTTTTTTAAAATTTATTATTGTTAATGTCAGGATTGATTTCGTTACACTTGCAATTCCTCATTTTAATGAGAATAGTCCATTGACCAATAATTAAACCTGTGAACCCTTGGATTAATTATGACAACTAAAATGATGGGAAAGTTTTTGTTTACTACAAGAATGAACAAAATTATTAGGCCATCCCCCAAATTCATTTTGCGTGAGCTTTATTCAAATGTTCATTTCCACACATCATTGATTTCTTATGGGATATGAAGTTGAGCTGGTGTTTGGGTTCTTAGAAATTTAATTGACATATATGGGGATTTTCTATTCTTGATCACTGACATCAGTAGCTTGTTAACCTGGGATGTTTGTCTTCTTAATCTTATTTTACTAATTGAATTATTGCATCATGCCTTATTGAAGTTGCGCTAGTGTTTGGATTCTTAAAGATTCAATTGATTGATGTGATTATCTTGCCAACCTAGGATATTTTCCTTCTTGATCTCATTGTAGTAACTGTGTGATAATGTCATGCCTCATTAGAGTTCTTCCCACGTCTTATTTATGCCAGATTTATGGTGATTTGCTCATGAATCATTTTCTACTCTTCCACTTCCTCTTGTATTGGACTCATTTTTTGGTCTTTTTCTTACTTTGGTACTTACGACTTTAGCTTATTTTAAAAAGCAATATTCATTTTTTGCATCACCTCTTTAGATCCTTCTCATTTTACAACATTCATTTTCTTAATGAAATAGTCGACTCTCTGTTACAATTAAAGGAGCATGATACTATTGATGTTTAAAGGCAAGAATTACACATTAAAAGAATAGTCAACTTCAAAGTTGTTCAAAAATCCTTAGTTGTATGGTTATCAACAAATAGGAAAAGATCAACAATAAAGCAGCGTACCCATCCAGTTGCCATGATAGGATCAGAGTACTTGGAAACCCAGCGAACCATAACAGTTCCAATTGCCATACTTTGAGCTGCCAGAAGCATCCACCATTCTCCACTTCCCCAAATCGTTAAATCTCTTCCTTCAACGGAAATTGCAGGAATCTGAAATGTAAGCATTACTACTTGAAAAAAAAAAAAAAAACTGCTTCAAAAACCAAATAACATGAAGTATATTTCCAAGCTAGTGTTTATGAGATTAAATTTCACTTCAACCAAACAACAAAAACAAGTAGAAGAGACAGATAGAAGTTGATGCCAATAAAATATTTAAGTTAAGCTCAAATTGATTTTGCTCTAGCATATGAAAAACAAGAGTAATCATTGATAAAATCTACTTCTAGTTTCATACATTTTTGAGCTATCTGCACAGACACATTAGCATGAAAAGTAACCATGTTTACCAAGTAAAATTGGTCAGGGTTGTGGTGGAGGCTTTGTATTCGATGAAAGATTCATACGCAAAAATCTGATTTTGGATAGTCAAACTTGATGAGGCTTCATACAAAATATAAGTGAAGCCTAATTTGGAACTCTCAGCTCAAGTACAAATTTAGCACCTTCAAATTTGGTTTGGTTTAAAAAGCAAAGCGGATTTGAACTTGGCCTCATCTAACTTAAGCTGGCTTCTTAAAAGCTGACAGCTACTGTAGAACATCCAAAAAGAACATTAAGATCTTTAAAATTTTAGGTGTAAATTGTGCCATCAAAACAGAAGAATTCCCATCAAAACCAAATAAGCTAATGCAGTCCAGTTCAACAGTCACCTTGAACAATTCAGGCGGCAAATTATTGGGTCAGGTGACCGAACGCAGAGATAGGTTCGGATAATAATAAAATATTATTTTAAAATTAGCGCAACTAAAGCGCAACTAAAGCGCAACCAAAGCGCAACCAAAGCGCAACTAAAGCGCAACCAAAGCGCAACCAAAGCGCAACTAAAGCGCAACCAAAGCGCAACCAAAGCGCAACTAAAGCGCAACCAAAGCGCAACTAAAGCGCAACCAAAGCGCAACTAAAACGCAAGTCAAAAAGCGCAACTAAAGCGCAAATAGTATCAATTGCAAATCCAGTGACAGCTTCCCAGGTCATAATAAGTAATCATTAGTGCACTATTATAGTGAAAACAACTAATAATTGAGTGCTGAGTCGTAAAAGATCAATTTTTGGGTTCAAATGCATCTTGCCAACCTTTCTACATATGAACCAAAAATAGGAAAGAAAAGAGAGCTTCTAAGCAAACAACATGGTTGTCTGCACCACTAAATCTTTTACTGTTGAGTGATCAAATCTCATTCTTTCCCTTCATATATATGCACCAAATCAACTCTTTCAAATCACTTCTTCATTCTGGAGATGGCTTTATCCGAATGGATCTGAACCCCCCACCTGCTCAAAAACTAAGTCTAGTACTAGCAATTTTATTTACTACATTTGGCAAAAGAGGCAACTTAACCTTTGCGTCTATGCCAACTTACTTGCTTAATGAATATAATCATTATTAGAAAATTATAAGCTAGCTTGCCGAATCATGATGCAAAATCATGAATACACCATGATAATTAAAACCAACTGTACAGAGAATATGTTTAAAGAAGAACATTTTCAAATGCAAAAAGTGTTAGCATGCCACTCGTTTATACATACACCAAACAAGAATTGCAAAGTTCAATGCCTTCAATTTATAAACCAAAACCACCACTTTTGAGTCAATTCCACCCAAACTGAACTAAACAAAACACAACCATTTACTCGAAAAAAGAAATGAAGTGCTACCGAGAAAATCTATTATATTCGGTAGTTGAGAACTCTAGATTGCTATGGCAATGATGGGGACATCGGAACTTGGAAAGTTTATCAGAGACATGGCCGTTGATCTACGGCCACGATCGAATTAATGTATTTTTGAGTCGTATTATGTATTTGTCTTTTATTATATTATGTTTGTATTTGCTTTTGTTATTTTCCGCTTTTACCAACTACTTAAGGGAGGTCATGTGTAAGCCCAAAGGGCATTGTCGTCTTTTATTTTTGAGTCCTTTGTATGAGGCTATATATAGCCCTTATGTTCTCTTTTCATGCTTAATGAATGAATGATAAAGAATTTTTCCATTGTTTGAGTTTCTTGTAAGAGCTTGAGAGTGCTTGGGAGAGGAAACCCTTGGAGAGGGAATCGCATCACCCACCAGCCTTGGAAGAGTCCGGGCTCGTGGTTAGTTTTCTTATTTCGTTTTCCCCTCTTCCCTCCACCCTACACCACCGGTCGACCACCCCCTCTAACAACCCCAAGCCACCGGCCACCTTGGCCTCACCCTCACCGTCGCCTAAGCCCCCATCTCCACCCCCACCCGAGCCTACCTCTATTTTCCCCCACCACCACCCACGGCCAAACCACAAGCCACCGGCCCACCCTAGGCCTTTCCCTCCCTTTTCCCTTATCTTTTCCCTTATTTCCTAATATAAATGTAATATAATTACTAATTAGGATTAATTTTGAATTCAAATACAAGTGATTTGAAATTCAAAATCTTTCCTAAAATACGAAATCTATTTTAAGAAAGTTTTTAAATCTCATCCAAATCAATCTTTAATTGAATGAGATTTAATTTCTCTTACATAATTTAAGATTCCCAATTAAGCAAGCAATAAACACTTGCCTTAAGCCCACCCTTTCTTCCCTTATTGCGCCGCCCCCCCCCCCCCCCCAGGAAATCCCATGGGATTTATTTCCAAAAATCCAACAAAGCTCTCTTGGAAATAATTTCCTACTTCTTCCCCACCTCTCTTGGCCGAAATCCCCTAGTCCCAACTTATTTAATTTCTTCGCAAGAGAGGGCCTCTCCTTTTGGAATTAAAATAAATCCTTTCCCCTCTCTCTTACTGCCGCCCTCCTCTCTCTTCCCTTCATTAATTCCTTACATCAAGGGGATTAATTAAGGAGTTGTTTGAACTAGAATTCCCACCACAAAACTGAACCAAAAATCTTCTCATAACCTCCTTCATTGGCCGGCCATCCCCTCCTCTTCTCCAGTTCAACTTCTGAGAGAAACTTCTTTCTCTCTAGTGGAGTCTTCAAGGAAGCAGCGTCGATCTTCGTCTACACATCAATCTTTCAAAGCCAATGAATGGCCGATCTGGATCTTGACTACGGATTCGCTTAAGACGAGCAAGGGAACGTCAACATCCTCCACTCCACCTTCTTAGACTTCAACCCAAAAGTCGATAATTCTATTGAAGAATACGTGGACCGCATCAACTTCATGCTTTTGGAGGCCATCGACGAGCAACTTACCAACGTCCAGTGGCAACTTGTTTCCGGCCACCCCAAGGGTGAACTTCTTCCCATTTTCACTTATTTTCCTAATCCGCTAATCTTGTAGGTGGTGATCAAGTCACAAAGAATCGTGCCTCGCCCTCTGCCTCCGACTAGTAAATGTAGGATTTGAGTACACTTTCTATGGTGCTTATCTCATTGTTAGATTAGAGATTTTTGTTAAGTAACTACTTAATTCGTATGTTGTTGAAATTCTAAATTGTTTAGATAATTCAAGTTCTTAGTATGTGATTTGGCCTAAGCGTAGCTACCCCTCTTACGTTTTCTATTTTTGTTTAGCAGCTAATAGTTTTAATTGTTATTTGTTCTTATCAAAATCGTGCAAATTCTTATCACCTTCATTTAAAAGCATTGTAGTCATGTATCAGGCAACCTTTGCCTCTCTTGCTTAATCAATGCAAACATTAATTGCAAACCTTATGAAAGCTTGCCAGCTCCTAAGCACGCCAGTTCTTGATACTCCAGAATCATGAATGTATGATGATAATAAAAAAAAAAACAGATAAAGTATAGATTTGTAGGTCTCACTTTTCTGTGCCAGTAGCACATCATGTACACCAAAACAGATATAGAGATTTCCATAATATTGCTACCGTTGAAATTATTCAAAATAGAACAGGTGTATAGAAGAGAATGTAAGTGAACCTCAAGAAGTAGAAGCCCGATAACACCAAGCACTAGCCCAGCAGCACCAACGGTTCCAATGGACTCACCAAACAACAGGGCTGCAAGTATTGAAACTGTCAAAGGCTGAGAATCGATGATGACCTACATTTTCAAAATGGGACGATAATGGCAGCTCATAAACAACTATACACTAAAACTCATTCATTGAAATTATATAGCTGTATGAGTAAGGAAACAAAAGGTTTCTGAACTTACACTGCCCAATCCAGCTGCTGTTTTCTGTAACCCCTCAGCAAGAAACCCCTACATGGTAAAGAAAAGAAAAAACCTTTTAGCCCACAAATGGGAGCAATGGCAATCCAAGTATCCAAGGACAGGGAACGTTCCAAAAGCTTCTCATTAACTTTTTCTAAACACTGCGATTACAAGACAAACCATCCCACCTGAAAAAATGCCCCGTCCACGATACCAAACAGGATAATGGAAATCCACGCCAGGAGCCCCGTCGGCTGCCGCCTGCCTCTTGCCGCCGCAAATCCGATCAACATAGCACCCGCCGGGATCAGCCGAAATGCCGACACGAAGAAGGGTCCCGTCTTAGGGATCACCTCCTTCATAGCCACCATTGCGGTGCCCCAAAAGAAGAAGGGAGACACCAGGAGCGCCCAGTCGATGACCATACCAATCAATCCCTCATCAAATTTTGCCGCTACTCCAGTTATCTCGAAACTTGCGGAGCTCTTGTTGGCTGGGGGCGGCGAAGGAAGCAGCTGTTCGGTGTCAGAGGCGAAACACTCGACGTCATTTCCGGTGCCGACACAGTCAACGGAATCCATCTTAGAGTCGGGAATTGCCTTTCGGTTGCTGCAACAGAAGAAAGGCCTTGAAACTCTGGGTTTAGTTCCAAGTTTCGAACGGGAGCGTGGAGATGGGTAGGGTTTGGGAAGGAAGTGGAGGAAGGCATGATGATTCTGTGGGGAAATTGGAAAAATGGGAAGTAGGTAGACGGAGGTGGTTGACATGGGGTTCTTTTCAACAGGATTCTTTATCTTTGATGATATTTTCTCTTTCTTCCTGCTCGGATACCGGAGACTCAAGCGACGAGGAAGACGGGTTGGAGGGCCAAACTCTCCCAACCAGAATGAAATAACGGAAAATTTTGTATCTCGAGATTTTATTGATCATTATGATTAATATCTAACTATTGAAAATTAATATTATGATTCCTCATTTTTCTAACAAATAAATTTGAATAAAAGTGCTAAGTTATCTTATGATTATTTTTTAATTATTATAAATTAATTTTCTTCTCAACTAATTAATTTATTTTATAAGTAATTATAAATTATATTTACATCAAAAAATAGGATCTTCCATATTATATGTTATTTTCTTTGATGAGGATATTGTTGGGGTCTAAAGAATGGAGCATGTTCTTTGTTGGATAGACGATTGGGCCGCAACCCTTATATAAGAAACTTCACCAAAAAAAAGAAACCTTCTCCAAGCCATTCATAAAATATGGAACCAAAAGGGTTATGAAATGATGGGAAATGAAAGCCCTTAGTTCAATTTTGATATATCATTCAATTTTAATAAACTGACTTCGAATTTTAAGCTTGTGAAAGATGACTTCAATAAAATTACCCAAACTTCCTCTATGATGATGGAATGAATGTGGGATCTCTATAATAACTAGTAAAATTGATACCCCCTTCTGCCCTTCATCAACTCTCTCATGGATACTAAATCTAGATTAACTTTTACTATGTCGGTGTTCAAATTCCAACATGAACTTTTAAAATTTGGCCCTCCTACTACTTCCTCTATAGTGAATACCATTGGTGCTTTTCACTACAGAAAAATCGTCCATTACCGACGGTAATTTCTAACTGTTTTGATATATTTTTCGGTGGTTTTAAAAATTTACGGCAGTTAATAGCGATGGTCAAACCGTTGGTTTAACCACCAGTAGGAAATACCATCGGCATTCAGCGAATTTCCTATAATGCTTCCTCTACTTATATTTTATATTGACATGTCCTCACTTTCTAATATAGTTGGAATCCTCTCTGCTCAGCCTATAGTGTAAGTCAAATGCATGACCCCTATGCCATAAACAGAGTGCGTTAGTTCGTTCTTTCAACAATGAGAAATTGACTTCATTTCTCTCGAGCTTTCAAGTTTTTTTTTACTTCCACCAACATATTTCATTTGCCTCTTACCTTACACCTCACTCCAATATCGATCAAATTTGAGGACGATAAAGCAAAAGTTGCTAAAATCAATATCTGTGAATGCAAATAATAAAGAGATTATGAAATGTTTGTATCACTTATATCCAAAGCATAATCTGAAGTAAAACTTAAGCAAAAACATTAAAATTTGTAAAAGTTGAAAATCTTTGAAATCAGTTAATCTGTATCACGTATATCGAAACTCGAAAGTAAAATCTTAAGTAAAATCTGAACTAAAACTTAAGATACATGTACAAGGATTTCATCCCACATTCTATTTCCAATCAGTTGGATCTAATAAAACTATCAGCAAATTCAAAGTGTAAACTTGATATGTTCTTCATAAGAACCACCGACAGTTCAAAAACAAAAAATTATCTTCTGCCAAATCAAACAACTATATTATAAGATTGAAAATTCCAAATAACAACTTGCAGAAAATTCCGCTAGAAAATCTCGAAAAAAAATAGGGTTAAAAGCAGACAAAAAAAATGTGATTGAAGTTTCCATGGAAGGGTGCATCTAAGAGAAGAACCCCAGTGTGCTTAAAAGTGAAGGAATAACAAAGAAATTTTCTGTACCTGGAGGCGGCTCCATCGACAGCGTTCTTTCGAGCCCCATTTCTTCCTCTCTCTCCATCTCCCTCTTTCTCAGCTCTCTATCGGCAAAGTAATAATATGCAGAAAAATTACTGGAGCTACACAATACAAATTGTCTTCTGCGTCCTGCTGCGTGGTGTGAATTTTGTGCTTCGAAACTTCAGGAGAAACTTAGAACGTCCAATGACCAAAGGCCAATAAAAAGTTTTACTCTATTCCTTTTAGACGTTAAGGTGAGTACTCGCTTTGCTTGTTCGCACTACACGGAGAAGGTAAGTTTCGGCAGGGTTTGGTTGTTCGCACGGGATGGAGAAAGAGAGGAGCGCGGGATTCAGACGGGTAAGACACCTGCTCGAACGATGAAGAAAGATGAATTCGCGCGCGAAAGGAAGGGTTTTAACTGTGAGGTATTTCGGATGAGAGAATGTTATTTAGGTGGTGCATAAGTATATAGTGTAGTTTATGTATATAAATATAATAGTTTTCTAATATTATATATACGAGTTTGATATATAATTTAAATTATAAATGGTAACAGAGTATTAAAAAAAATAATAAAAAAACAAATTAATCAAACATAATGACACATTTCATTGAATGCGTCAAATTATTTAACACATTATTACAGTAATTTCATATTTTAATTGGCCTGACTTGAGTGAATGCCCCAAATGATTTGGCGCATTTTAAAGAACTAGTCAAATCATTTGGTGCATTCTAAATAATGTACTAAATGATTGGCTAGTTCTGAATGCATCATTTGGTGTTTTTTTTAGAACATGTCAAATGATTTGACTAGTTTGTTTCTTTTTAATTTTTTTTAATGTTTTGCTCCTATTCTAAAAATTCCTAATAGTTTTAGATGTTATGTATATAAAATCTAATAAAAAAGATAATGCTAATTTTTTCAGTTAATTTAGAAAAATATCGTCATTAATGCTATGAATCATTTGATTAATCACAAATGTTAGTGGGTGACTAGCATCACCTACTAAAAATCTACCTTGCCATCTACCTCCAACAAGCTAACAGTGGGCGTGTGACTAATCTCGAGACCGGAAGCGTGCAGGTGCGATCTTTTCCAGATTCTTCGGAGGGGTAAAATTGTTTTTTTTATTTTTAATTAATATTTTTGTTTTTTTTAATAATTTTTAATTACGTTCATAATTATTATAACCATTTTTTAATTTTATATTAATGAACTAATTAACTTGAAGCATTTTATCATTATTTTGTCAGGGAGGAAAATGGAGCGAGAATAGTTCACAGGAAAGCATTACTGGAGGCACTAGCAGAGGAAATTCCTCTGGAAGCCATTCGTTTTTCTTCAAAATTGGCTTCAATCAGAACTGAAGCTGGCCCAGATTCTTCCAGCATCACTGTTCTGCAATTAGAAGACGGAGAAATTATAAAGGCCAAGGTTTCTATATATATCTAACAACAATTAACCAAATTAAGGCTTTAATTCTTGATCAAATCATGTTATATTAGATGGATTTTTACTATTATATGCTATGTTTGGATATCACTTTAAGGGCTGTTTGGTAGCACCTAGGATTTGATTTAAGTAGGATTTCATAAATCCGCTAAATTCGGATTTCAGAAATCCTGAGGGGCCTAAATCCTGAAAATTGTTTGGTAACATTCATGATGAATCCTATTAAATCCCGTATGACTATGTGATTATAGAACAGATTTAAAGAGCGGACTCTTTGTCTCGAGCCAACGGATTTCGTAAACCTGCCAAAAAACAGGACTTCAGAAATATAGGATTTAGCACAAAAAGGCGGAGTTTTTCGTCTAAGACAGCTTTCATTTTCCGTGAGATTTGGTTTTGCATTTTAGGTCGTTTGGGTGGATCTCGCTCAAATCCGTCTCAAATTTGGCCTAAATCCTGCTATAAAACAACACCTAAAATGAATAAGGAGTATGTAAATTAATAACACACGTGATGTAGGTGGTGATTGGTTGCGATGGCCTATACTCGGTTGTGGCGCAATGGTTGGGCCTAGCTCAGCCACGTGATTCTGGTCGATCGGCAGTCCGGGGCCTCGCCGTGTTCCCTGAAGGCCATGGCTTAAAGCACGAAACTCAACAATTTCTATTCGCGAACAGAAGGGCGGGTTTGATACCCCTTAATGACCACGATGCATATTAGTTCATATCCCACCCCACCACGCCGAAAGGTACTATATTACTATTCTTCAAAAATAACATCAAGCTTTTATCCTTTTATATGGGATTTGCTATAATAATTTTTTTCTATTATATCTTATTGAGAGTCAAATTCTCATTTAAATTAATAAAAATATCAATTTTAATAGTTTCTAATCAAATATATTAATAATCTCCATTAAAATAAATTTTAATCACAATATCTTATAATTTATGAATATTTATAATCAGGGGTAGAATCAATTTTTTTTAGAATGAGAAAAACATAATTGTGAAATATATAATTTTATGTATGAAACAAAAAAAATTCTTCTTAGAAATTAGGCAATTTTATTTATTGAAGATGATTAAAATAATTAAAACATTTTACTCTTTTTCTTTTTCTTTTTGTTTGCAGTAAAAGAGCTGGGAAGGCATCCGGAGCACATACAGCGCGAAGTTCTTCTGAACTTAGCCGTTGACCTACCTCTTGAGTTCAAACAAATGATCGAGCATTCTGTACCGTCAAGCCTGACATGGGACCCACTTATGTTCCGCACGCCATGGGACATCGTCCTAGGCCGGGCCCACCGCGGCTGCGTGACGGTCGCCGGCGATGCCTTCCACCCGACGACGCCGGACCTCGGCCAGGGCGGCTGCATCGCCCTCGAGGATGCCGTGGTGCTCGCACGATGCCTCGCACATGCGGAGTCTCCCAAAGAAGTGGAGGAGAGCTTGGGGCGCTACGTGGCAGAGCGACGGTGGCGGGCAGCCGCGGTTGTCGCTGCCTCCTACTTCTCCGGGTGGGTTCAGCAGGCCTCGGCCGGGGTGTGGACCCGGCCGCTTAGGTTGGTTCGGGATTTTCTTTTTTATCGGTTCATCTTCACCTGGATCGCAAGGCTCACGCTCTTTGATTGTGGCACTTTGCCTAAGGTTGGCTAAGATATTTGGTTTTAGTGTTCAAAGTTTAGTTTCGCTGCTTGTGTTTGATTTGATCAGTAGTTAAGATATGTGATATTATTAGAACTTTTTATTTATGATAAGCATTTGTTGGGTATTTGTTCTTAGATTTAGGTTGTTTAGATTTCTTGTATAGCATGTATAGCCATTAGTATAACTAGTTGTGTAGCTTGTTTGCCTATAAATAGACTTTAGTTTGTATTAGGCAATGTGGCCAAAGAGAAATAAAGTTGGCTGCATTTCTCTCCTCTCTCCCTCCTCCTCTCTCAAGATCAAGAGGAAGTGCTTCTTCCTCAAGAGATCTTACATCTGGTATCAGAGTCACGGCGGTGGCAATCTCGAGGTGGAGGAGCCGGAGGTGGTTTTCTTGTCTAAGAAACGATTCAAGGCCAAACGGAGCAAGCGATCTTGGCGGGGTTCGCCGGATTCGGCGAAGGGAGCGATTGATGGAGGCGGTCGAGGCGAAAGAGGCCTGTCTCGCCGGAATCAGAGCGGAAGTGCGGGCCGAAGTCAAGATCGGTCGTTGAACTTACGCGGGCGAGTGGGGTTGTTTTCATTTGGATGCGAGGCCTTGTCGCGGTGGTCCGGAGCAGTGCCAGAGGGCTTCTTGATCGGGAGCAAAGCAAGGCCGCACGCAGGCTGTGCGGGTGAAGCGGGATCAACCCGCGAGTTCTTGAGCGCGGATTGGACGAAGGCGGAGGGGTTCTCGGTCGGTGTCCAGCAAAACCAGCGAACAGATTCAATCGGCAAGCTATTCCTAAATGGGGCGGAACTTTTGGGCTAGATGAACAGCAGGGCGGGCAGGCGGGTCATGCGAGAGGCGTGACAAGCAGATCGGAGTTGCATTGGTGCTGATTCGGAATTTATGCCTCAGCCACCCCTTTTCTTCTCTGTAAAGAACAGAGGATGTGCCATATAAATGGCTATACAATTATTTAGATAGATTGCTCTAATACCCTTTTCTTCTCTGTAAAGAACAGAGGATGTGCTTCTTCACATTGCTGGGTTCGATTTGTATAGGGAGGCGGACATGTTGTGTGGCTCAAAAGGATAATGATTGAAGGATATTGAGCCTTTCTATCCAGATAGCAAACTGGTTTGCATTTTACAGTAATAAAGAAGAGATTAGATCTTCTTTGGATGTGGAGTTTTGGACTTTCGGTGGAGTCCAGGAGACATTGAGGTGGATTTGGCATGTTCTTGGGAGTTGTGCCGGGAGTGCGAGGTGCTTGGAGGTGCGAGGTCGTGTGATGCACGAGGAGATCGCATAGAGGCGCAGGGCACTGGTGAAAGACACGCAGGGCGTTGGCCGGATGCGGCAGTGTGGAGCATGGGCTTGTGACGAGAGGAGCGCGGGTGAAGGCACAGGGCTCGCTGCACTGGTGGATACGTGCAGGATGTGGTTGGAGATAGACCACATGAGTGCAAGGCACAGGCGCGGGCTGGAGGCGTTGGACGCGGGCTGGAAGTGCAGGGTGCGGGCACGAGGTGCAGGGTGCAGGTGGATGCACAGGGCGCGGAAGCGGGGTACAGGGTGATGCGGCAGAATAAGTTCTGTCGGGAGGTGGAGCAGTTCTTGAGAAAGTTATTAACTATCGGTACGACGTACGTTTTGGCGGAGGAGATCGGCAGGGTTGTTCTTTATGAACAGTGGTTATCTTTTGTTGTGTAAATCTAGGATCAAGGTGGAGATTATTAAATATTTGTTCCTAGATTTAGGTTGTTTAGGTTTCTTGTATGACATGTATAGCCATTAGTATAGCTAGTTGTGTAGCTTGTTTGCCTATAAATAGGCTTTAATTTGTATTAGGCAATGTGGCCAAAGAGAAATAAAGTTTGCTGCATTTTCTCTCCTCTCTCCCTCCTCTCAAGATCAAGAGAAAGTGCTTCTTCCTCAAGAGATCTTACAGTGTTAATTTTATTTCAATTTATGTATACATTTTATCAACATGTGAATTTATGATTAAACTTATTTAAAATTTTTAATATTTATAATTTATTATTTTTATTGACCATTACATATATAAGGTGTTAATTTAGTGTCTATGTTGAGTTTGTTTATCAAATTTGACTCGTGAGCTCATTAATGAAGTAAAAGTGTCGAGTCGAGTCAAGTATTTGTGTAATCTAGATAATTAAGCTTGCCTAGCTCTTGTTGAGCTCGAGCTTGACTTGTTAGAAAGTTATGAGACTTGAGCTCATTAGAAAAGCTCAAGTTTCACTATTGAAATAATTTAAATTATTTAGTATATATCTTATTAGATTATTTTAAAATTAGACTTTGAATATATTTTAATTTAAACGAACGGATCAACAAGCTTATGAGCCAAGCCTAGCTGAGCTCGAGATCTTATAATATACAAGCTCTATTATAGGCTCAAGTTTAAACTCGTAGCTTGATGCTCGAACACGTGACTCAATAAGCTTGGCTCATGAGCTCATTCATGAGTCAAATTCGAGCCGACTCAGCTCACTTACTCCCCTAATTCTAATTATACTGAAATGTATCCTATTTTATTTTGACTATCATGACGAACGTCAAAGTTCGAGCATGTTGAGTTGTTGGTTTGATCTCTCTTCTTCTAAGATAAGAGATCAGACGAAAATAATTGGGCATAAAACATTGGTGACAGGAAGAAGCCAAACATCAATCTTTAGTAGACATTGGGCCAATAAGATATTAGAGGTCTGAACATGTTTAGACAACTTTATTATTCTAGTTATAGGAGAGGAAATCGTGCAATCAAGAAGATAATCTTTGAAGGCGTTGGGCTATTAATAAGGAAATACTCAAATTCTACCTATTAACAAAATAAATATTCATTTCATTTTTTTCAATTACAGAGCCCAGATATTTACCCTTGCCACGATCAAATTATTAGGAATTAACAAAAGAAAAAAAGGAGTTGGGATTTTATATTAGAGATGAAATTTAAAAAATAGATATAAAGAATATTAATTTTAAAATAATTAATTTTCAGATATTATACATGAAATTGCCAAAAAAATTGTTGAGATATTGGCTAAAGAAAACATGCACGCCACAATTATTAAGTACAAAAACGAGCAAACCACATAAACCTCAGCACTTACAACTGAAAGCAAACAGCACACATTAGAATAGAGCACAAATTAGCATAAACATTTTAAGCAAGCTAATTAATTAAGCCTGGATACAATATTATTTACTATTTTTTTCAGAACAAGTGGTGTTTCTTCTTCCCTTCAGCTTCCTCTTCGTCGTCCTCCTCCTCCTCCTCCTTGGCTTCCTTCTTCTCGTGATGCTCATGGAAGGCGCGGCCTGCGGTGGCTGAAATCTCTTCTTCTATATTGTGGTTATGGCAGCAGTGCTTCGGTTCCTTCTTAGCCTCCTCTTTCTCGTACTGTAAATACATAGAATTCTCATCATTTAAACTATATCACCATAGTAACAAGAATTATGTTAATTAATTATTGAGTTCTTCCGATAATTTCACAGTTAAAAGCTTAAGATATATATAATGAAAGATTGATCACAAATTAAAAAAAAATTAATTTTTATATTAAATTCATTGAAAAAAAGAGTTAAAAATACCAAATCTAATTCGTCGTCGGAGACGGGAGAGTCTATCTCGCCCAAATGCTCCTTGTGCTTGTGTTCCTTTTTCTCCTTCTCATAGTCTTCGACAGTCTCCTCTGCTGTCGGCGAGTATTCGCCGCCAATGTTCTTTGAGGAGTAATCTCCGCCGGCGAAATCATCGCCGCCGCCTGTGATCGCCACGTCGTCGGAAATCCTCTCCTCCTCGTCCTCATTGTGGTGGTGCCCGAAGAGGTGGTGGTGGTGCTTCTCCTCAGCCATTGGATGACAGATAGACGGTGATGGTTTGGTTATGATGTAATGGGTGGGATATTTATAATGAGAGAAAGTGAGAGAAGGATTGGATGGACGGTGGCGATTTGTTGGAATCAGGATTAGAATTTGGTTCTGTGAATCAGGATCAGAATTTGGTTCTGCAATAATAGAGTTTTTATGGCTGGCGGTATCTAACGTCAATGCTCTGTACGTAAACGAATATATTGGCAAAGATATTGCCCAGATTTTATTCTAGAATTTGAAATACAAATATAGATTAATTAATGAAATTTAAGGTGTTCAAATTCTTTTTAAACAAATTAAAATTTTATACGAAAATTATATAATTAAAATAGATTTTGTGTAAATGTGTGTTATATTTTGAAGGTTTAAATTCTTTTATTTTAAACCTTGACTATAATAGTATTGATACACAGTCTCAACACCAACATTAAAATGTTCATTATCATCAACAATGTTGACGTCAACCCTTGACTTTAACACTGATGTTCGTTGATACCACTAAAGCTAACAATCGTCGACACCAACAATGTTCACCATCATCATTGATGCTTGTTGTGTATTGGCTGATTTTAGTCAGTTTGTTCTGCAAGACACAACACCGGTGTGAATTTCCAATAAATAGAGGTAGAGCCGAACAAAACTTTTTGGAGTCGCGATTGGCACGCATGGTCCGGAGCAAGCGAAGAGAGAGACAGACTCGCAACTTGCGTTTCACGCAGTTGTCGAGATTTAGAGGTTCTACTTCAGTCACTCATTCGTACAAAAGCAAGGCACGAGGCATAGTGGGCCGTAACATCCATACCAGACCTTGGCACAAGGGTTCGCAGAGCTTGAGATGCTATGTGCAAGCTAGGGTTCGCACGCAGCTCCTGCACACAATTTGAGCATATGTGCAGGAGCCGAATAAGCACATCTTCTTCGAACATGCCTATAGTAGATATTGATGTGGTATGCAATGGAAGAGGCAGGCTAACAAGAACAATCAACAGAAGGTAGAAAACGTAGAAGGCTTGAGCCTGTAAATCTATTTCATCAACTGTTGAGTTCATCTTCTCCAAGAGGAGAAATACAAAACTAGAGAGCTAAAAATGGCTATGCAGCCAAAAGAAAGAAACTGTACTAACTACCAAAACAGGAAATGCAAAAGAGTAGTGGCTGCTCCCTAACGGTCTGCTGCTCCCACTAACAGTGCTAATAAGAACATTAAAATTAAACAAAACATTTAAAAGATAGAGTGCTAATAAAGTAACGGTAACTAGTTGAATGGAGATCAGGCTGGGAGATCAAACGGATCGGACGGTCAGGCTTGTATGCGCTGCATCAGATATTATATATTATAGGATATCTGAATGTATCCCCTTCTTGTGGTGTATACAAGAATCAATTGTATACAAAAATATTTGAATCAGAGGAGCATAATAAACACATGCTATAATTGGACGTCATTTAATTCATCAATTAATGTTTAGAAGTTTTTAAATATTACTTAAGTGCTTGATTTGAGCTCATTTATAATTAGAACTTAGATTTGATAAGCTGTACTATTAATAAGATTGCATTGTCGAAATGTTCAATTCTATTTTAAATTTGCTAAAAGTGGGGCTTAATTTGGATTGATATTCCTGAGGAAATCTTTCCCTCCTCATTCTGATCATGACTAGATCCCCAGGGGCGAAGCTGCGTTCTCGTCGTCTTCTATTTGCATCCTCTTTATACTTCCGATTAGATGCATCCAGTCTTTCTCTAACCTCTTGAAGCATATGGGAGAACTGGGCGGCAAAGTCAGCGGCGGGCTTGCTCGAGCACTTGGGCAAAACGGCCAAATCTACCGTATGATTCGGGAGCTTAGTATACACAATGCTGAAGGGAGTTTTTCCCGTTGATCGGTTGGTCATGCTGTTGTAGGCGAATTCAGCTTGGCCTAATATTTCGTCCCACCCACGCGGATGCTCCTGCACTAAACATCTAAGCATATTGCCCAATGTGCGATTGATGACTTCGGTTTGCCCGTCCGTTTGAGGATGGTAAGCCGAACTGAGCTTGATATCGGTCTGCAATCGTTTCCACAGCTCTTTCCAGAAATGGCTCACAAATTTAACATCCCGATCGGATGTGAGACTCCGGGGAAGTCCGTGTATCCGGACTACTTCAGCAAAAAAAATACGAGCAACGTTTAAAGCGTCGAAGGTCTTCTTGCACGGCACAAAGTGAGCCATCTTTGAGAAGCGATCAACCACCACCATAATGGAGTCGTAACCACGTTTAGTACGTGGTAAACCCAGAACAAAATCGAGGCTGAGGTCTTCCCAAATGGATTCCGGCGTCGGTAACGGTATATACATTCCCGTAAGCTGTCCGCCTGTCTTGTAGCTTTGGCAGACCGGACACCTTTCTACAAATCGCATAACGTCGCGATGCAGATGGGGCCAGAAAAATCGTGCTTGTAGTTGTAAATAGGTGTTTCTTCTTCCCACATGGGCTGCTAGTCCACCAGAGTGAATCTCTTTGATCAGTTGGGGACGCCAAGAGGAATCAGGAATGCATAACTGATTCAATTTGAACAAGAAGCCGTGCCTTATAGAGAATTCTTTGTCATTTTCGCCTTGCAGACAATCAGCCCAGATTTTCGCAAAGTCAGGATCCGTGGCATATAAATCCTTCAGGCATTCTAACCCAGTGATCTCGGTCTTCAACTGGACCAACAGAGCATGGCGCCGGCTTAGTGCATCGGCTACGACGTTCTGGGCGCCTGACTTGTGCTTCAACACGAAAGAAAATCGTTGCAGGAACATAACCCATCTTGCGTGCATACGGTTGATGTGCTTTTGATTGTTAAGGAACTGTAAGGCTCGGTGATCACTGCACAGAACAAATTCCCGGTGAAGCAAATATGGCTCCCATTGCTTCAGGGCTCGAACAACCGCGTATAGTTCCTGCTCATACACGCTCCATTTCTGCCGCGACGGGCAAAGCTTCTCACTGAAGAACTCCACGGGGCGAGTGTCCTGGCTAAGCACTGCCCCAATTCTGATACCTGAAGCGTCCGAGTCAACATGAAATGTTTTGTCGAAGTCAGGTAGCGCCAAAACAGGGGCGGATGAGAGTGCCAACTTGACTTCTTCAAAGCTGCGGGATTGCTCTGTATCCCAACTGAAACTTTTAAATTTTAAGCAGTTGGTAATTGGCGCCAACAACGAACTGAAATTTTTGATGAATCGTCGGTAGAAATTGGCCAGGCCATGGAAGCTGCGCACCTCTGTGAACGACCGGGGCACTGGCCAGTTGACGATAGCCTCCACCTTGCGCTTATCGACTTCAACACCTGCGCCCGAAACAACAAATCCAAGAAAATAGACAGCTGAAGCAACGATTTCGCACTTACTTGGGTTTAGGTAGAGCTGATTCTGCCGTAACACCATAAAAATATTCTTCAGATCGACCATGTGATCTTCCATAGTTTTGCTATACACCAGGATATCATCAAAATAAGCCACGCAACAGATGTTTAGAAAAGGTTGAAGAATATCAGTCATCAAACGCATAAAGGTCGAGGGCGCGTTGCACAGTCCAAACGGCATAACTTTCCACTCGTACAGACCTTGGCGGGTCTTGAATGCCGTCTTCCACTCGTCGCCGGGCCTGATGCGGATTTGATGATATCCGCTGCGTAGGTCCAATTTTGAAAACACCGTGGCGCCGGACAGCCGCTCCAACAGCTCCTCAATTCTCGGAACAGGGAAACAAAACTTCACTGTGATTTTGTTTATTGCCCGGCTGTCCATACACATACGCCACGAACCATCCTTCTTAGGGACAAGGAGGGCGGGAACCGCACATGGGCTCAAGCTTGGTTGAATCAAGTTATTCTTCAGTAAATCATCCACTAATTGCTGTAGGATTTGATGCTCTTTAGGACTTAGTCGATGATGTGGTAGATTCGGAAGAGTAGAGCCAGGTACCAAATCAATTTGATGTTGAAGGTTGCGCAGTGGCGGTAATGAAGTTGGCTCCTCTGATAGTAAATCTTTAAATTGTTCCAACAGGTGCTCCACGCTGGGTTGGACAAGTAAGCTACAGCTTGGTGCAATCTCCCGAAAAATTAAGGCAAACATGGGGCTGTCGCCAGAACAAGAAGTTAAAAATCCACTGCCAGTGACCAAATGCAAAGCAGGCGTAGACAATTCCGCCTTGTTTTCAATTCCCTGCGATTGCGGTAACAGCCTGAGGCGTTTGCCTTTCCATTCCAGCGCATAAGTATTGGCTCGCCCGTCGTAGATAGCACCTGCATCAAATTGCCAAGGCCGCCCTAGGATAAGGTGACAGACATCCATTTCTACGACATCGCATAACACTTCGCAAGAGTAATGTTTCCCAATAGAGAACGAAACCCGGCAAGTCTCGGTCACCATGATTTCCATCCCTTTTTTTACCCAGCTGATTTTGTAAGGTTGAGGGTGCTTCATTGTCTTTAATTTCAAGGCATGAACCACGGCGCGTGAAATCACATTTTCCGTGCACCCACTGTCGATGAGGATGTCACAAACTTTGCCGGCAATGGTGCATTTGGTTTTGAAAATGGCATGCCTTTGAGATTGCCCAGATTTTCGTGGCGCTAGCAGTAGTTTTTCGAGAACACATACTACCTGTTCTCCTTCATCACCGATAACATCTTCCACGTCTGCCTGCAGTTCCTCGTCAAGTAGTACGTCGTCTTCCTCTGCTTCCCCTTCTAACAGCTGCAATTGCTGTCGGTTCGGACATTCATTTGATTTATGTCCGGGTTGAAAGCACCGGAAACATTTGAGACCCTGAGGTCGTGGATACGGGTTTTCCTTGAAAGGAAATTTCGGCTTCACAGGATTAGATGGTCCGCTGGTATCTGCTACAGCTGGGGTTCTTCTTATAACAGTTCCTGGAGGTTTTATAGCTTCATTGCTACTTTCTAGGTAAGATCTCCGATGAGTGCTGCTTCGCTGCTGTCGTCCCAACTGCATTTCAGCCTTGAGCGCGAAGTTGAC